AAAACTAGCGTGTTTGCATTGTTATATATATATATATATATATATATATATCTAAAGGAAAAAACAAAGCCATAATGAAAAATCTTTTATTTATCACATATCTAAATGAGAAACAACTCAAACATAAAAAAGGACTACAATCTTCTTTCTCAAGAAGACAATCTAGTGCTGCTTACGATCTACCTTTCTCCATATTGAGTTTTGATCTTGACCTCTATCTTTCCAAAGGAAACAAACAAACCAACAAACATCCCATTGCTATATGGGATATTCACACTCCTACTATAGAGGGTATGAAAGTCTGAAATAAACAATCTGAAGTAGACTTTCTAAAGTCATTCACATATATTAATACCAAATTATCACTTAAAAACATGACAGATATTGGGCTCCTAACACTACGCTCAGAAGAAACCCACCTCAGAAATCCTTGCCCAAATGCCCCACCACCATTCTTTCTTCTATAATCTCCCAGGCTAAATGTAACATTGTAAGTTGCTTTCTGCTTCACCTCAGTGAATGTGATCACATCAGGCATGACCTTGATACTAACTCCTTTTGGAGGGACAACTTCCACCTTATAAATTGAGCTAGGTGGGCCCAAACACAATGGAAAAAGAAGGGTAGTTCAGTTGTGCCTCAGGTATGCTTTTCACTTCCAAGCACTTCACTTTTCTCTGAGTTATGACTTGAACTTCATTGTCTGTGTACTTCAAGCCACACAGATAAGGAATATAATCATCTGTTTGGATGTCATAAACAAGGCCAGGGTCATTTGCTTTTGAGGGGTTGACATGGCCTCTGCCCATGGCAAACAGGTTAGCGGGGCGAGAAGTTGATCAAGAATTGGGTTTCCTCTAAGATTCTTCACATCAGCAGTTGTCATGATTGCGGACTTGATTGTGGCCGGGGACCAATCTGGGTGCGAGCTCTTGAGCAAAGCTGCAATGCCACTCAAGTGAGGACAAGCCATTGAAGTTCCTGTGTTGACATGAAAAGCTGAGTTTGAATTTGTGTTCTTGTCCACTGGGAATGGCCACGCGGCTAGAATGTTCACTCCTGGTCCTAGAATGTCGGGTTTGAGAATCCCGGGACTCACCAACTTTGGCCCTCTTGATGAGAAGGAAAGCACCCTTGGAGCAGAAGAGGATTGCCCAATTATTGTTCCTCTAAATGAAATGGTTGCCATTGGTTGAGGTTGAATTAATGTAGGCTTTGATCCTGGACCCTTCGGAGTAACTCGTGTGGCAGGGAGGACATGAAGATCGGCTATGGTACTAAATCCGTCGAATTTTTCGTTCATCGTGATCATGGCTAAAGCCCTGGCTTTCTTCACTTCTTCACCTCTAGAAACCCCTGATGCCCCACCAATCCCCTGGCAAAGCACAATCTTTCCTCTAACACATACTCTTTCAAGTGTCTGCGGGTCGCAGAATTCGGAGTAAACAAGAGGGAGTAACTTGGGCTTGAAGTCACCAGGCTGGAAGAGAGATTCACCCATGTATTCTTGACGATTTCCGAGCTTGGCCACAGCTCGAATACTTCGATCAATGGTGCTTGCCCCAACTGTGAGAACCCAAGGTGCAGGGCCTGAAACTGAACTGTCGAAAGGGCCAACATTCCCTGCAGAGCAGCTCACAAAAATCCCATGTTGAACAGCCCGAAAAGTGGCTATTTGTAATGCGTCTTGGAGGAAAGATTTCTTCGGGAATGAGCCAAGGGACAAAGAAATCACATCGACATCATCTCTAATGGCTAAATCAATGGCTGCTAATACAGCACTTTCAGGACAACCACCTTGTGAGCACACTTTGTAAACATGCCAAATGAGCCAAAGGTGCCATTCCAGAGGCAGTTCCATTGGCGTTGCCGAGGACATTGGCTCCTCTCACGAAATTCCCTGCCGCCACGCTTGACGTGAGGGTCCCATGACCTTCTTCATCAAACAGCGGCGGAGAAACTCTTCCTCCTCCTTTGGTCACTGATCTTATCAAGTTTCATGCCCCAATGAGCTTCTTGTTGCACCTCACCGCACCAAAATCACACTTCCCTCTCCACTTCCTCGGCGGGGAAGGCATTCCCTCGTCGCTAAATGAGATATGCTGTGGCAACACTCCGGTGTCCACCACTCCGATTGTCATGCCTTTTCCCAAGTTTAAGTCATTCCAGAGCCCCTCACCCTGAGACAGGCCCAAGAACTGTGGAGTTCTAGTTGTGTGCAGAAGCAATGTGTTCTCTGGAATGATTGACACGACACCATCCTTCATTCTCATGTCTTCCGCCTCCTTTCCCGTCAGTCTCGCCGCGAATCCTGAGATGACGTTTCGGTACATGTGAACCATGCGTGACTGCTTCCTTGCTCTTGCAATTGACAATGGCAAGAAAGAGTAGTACCACCTGTGTAAAGCTCCAAGTCTCGTTGAAGCCAAGCGCTGTGGCTTTTGGAGATAGACAATGTAGGTCTCTAAACTGCTTCCTTCAATGGCCATTTCCTCTTGTGATTCTGTGACATTGTTTCCTTATGTTGGGAAGACACACAACAATGAAATGATCAAAGCGAAAAGGAAATGAATTCAGTAATAGTAAGCCACAATTGCTGATCTTTTCCATGTTTTTGAAGGAGCTAATTTGTATTGTATGTTACTCGCGTAGGTATTTTTGGCTTCACTTAAATGTGTATATTTATAGCTATGGTGGACGAGGGTAAGAATGAAAGAGATTAATTGGATCTTAGTTTTGCTAAGAGAAATGCCACTAATTGCTTGCTAATATTCCCAAGTTTCTACTCTTTTATTTTTCTTTGTTTATAATAATATTACCAAAAAAAAAAAAAGAAAGAAAAAAAAACTCTTCCAAGCGTGAAGATTTCATGTTAATTATTTTTATTATATAAACACTGAAATGGTCGCTTTCGTTATTATGTTACAAGAACTTTCTTGTTTCTTGCATTTTAGTAATTGGTATTCTCATGAGAAGTATTGTGTTTTTATAATCCACCGAAATATTATGAAAGGGTGAAGTCTAATACAACAGTTGGCACCATGCCCTTTAACTTTCACTGTTTAAGGAGTTCACACCTTTTCAAGTAGACAAAACCATTATTGAAATATGTCAAGGGACATTGCTTCTGCCTTATGTTGAATTCAAAAGCTAATAGTACTTTTGCCCAAACAAAACAACTTTGCCATTTACCTAGTTCCTTAATCCATTTTTTAATCCTTAATTAGAATTAAACTACAAGGTGATTAAGAGGGAACAACTTCTTTTGGTGGGTGGGTCATATACTAAGGATCCGTTTAGTTCGCTGATTCGAGTTGAGATGTGACTTTATGTGAGAGTTTTTTTACTGTAGTAAAAAAGTTAAATGTGACTATTTCTGAGAGCTTTTTACTATAGTAAAACTTGAATTTTAAACTCGAATTGGTAAAATGAACGGGACCTAAGAGTAAGATAACCCTTGACTTGAAATTAACCACCAACCAAAAATAAACAGGCACATGTAATTATACATATACCTCTATATGCAATATGTGTAAATTGGATAGAGTCAAGAAGTAAATATTTTGCCCCTCCATGAGACCCTTTGGTGCATTAAAAAACTTCCTTAATTTGCTTTTAGTGGCCAGAAACTCCTAATGATGATTAAGGGGAACCAATCATAAATGACAATTAATTGAGATGCATTTTAAGACCTAATCCTTTCTGAGTAAGCAAAATACCACATTGAGACAAGCTTCCTAACTGATTATTTTAAATAGCATATCTTTTTTATCTTCATTCCAAGGTGGTAAAATGACTTGTTGGGTGTGAAATTTAAGAATATTAAATAGTATGTCTCAGTGATGTTAGTAGTAATATTTTTATGTTATCATGTATAAACGACATAAAAGTATTAAAAAGATATATATCTTTCCGGAACATAAGTAAGATCATATGCATCACAAGTAAGGCCAGAGCCAGGCTTATTGGTCTCTACTTCATTTATTTATTTTTTCTAATGCTCAGAGGTCTCTACTTCATCCTTTAATACATTCAAATTAGAATATTGGTAGTAAATATATTGAACAGATTTAGGCCTTGTTCACTTCGCAGATTCGAGTTTTCAATTTGAGTTGAGATGTGACATTTTGTGAGACTTTTTACTGTAGCAAAAAAAAAAATTAGATGTGACATTTTCTAAGAGTTTTTTACTGTATAAACCTAGAACTGAAAACTCGAATCGGTGAAATGAACGAGGCCTTAAGTACCTATATAGCCGTTTAGCTTTATATGCTTATTACTCAGCCCAAAGACCTGACTACATGAAAATTTTGATTTATTTAATGAGCATTTGAGCTAGCCAAGACTGAGAAACAATCTCAAAAGAAGATGGAAATCACGTTTCCAATCTTCAGAAAGTTAGATTAATTGGTTGAAAATCTATGAATCAGATCTAGATACAAACAAAATGGGGGAAAAAAGGCCCCCTTTCTCGAACGACCAAGGCTTAATAACAACAAAAAACAGATGTAACGACAACACTAAAGTAAAACGACAACAATATAAAGACTCATATAAAGGACAAGTAGAGACCAAAAAATCATCCTTTGGTGAGTTTTTTGTTTTTGTTTTTGTATTTTTGTGTTTTTGTTTTTTTTAAGGGAAACCTTTGGTGAGTAGTGGGCATTTGGGCTTTACGTACAAAAGTTCCTTTGACAAAGGAAGAAAACACATATAGAAGCCTTTTAACTAAACTGCAAAATTCTGTTAAATAAGGAGAATTCTATGGTAGCGTTCTCTTTTAAACTGTCACATATGTATTATATTTTGTCCGCTTTCATAAACATATGCTAACAGTCGAAAGATCTGTCAAACAATATGCATTTTTTTCCTTTTCTGTAAACTTGGATTTGACATTAGAAACCAATAACAGTGTTCACAACATACAACAACAGTGACAATAAACAAAAACACAAAAAAAAAAAAAAAAAAAAATCATTTGGTCTTTTTCATCAGTAAAGGAGGCTAACATTTTAAGAAACTAAACTCAATGAGGACTACTTTAAGAAAAGTGACCCCCATTGGACTTATTCTGTTTATTTTTGCCTTCCAGCACAAGAAATTAATCTTATTTCTCTGACCCAAATTTCTAGACGGCAAATATAGCAGTTATCTGGCTTCTAACGGAATACTTATCAGATTTCCACACCAAATAACCCTGCTCAAAGGGATTAGTACTCCTCCCAGGACCACTCACTTGGATAATCTCAATCTTATATTCAGCCTTCTGATTCACCTCTGTGAATGTAAGCTTATTAGGAGTCACATTTATTCCTGTTCCCACAGGTGGATAAACATCCAAAGTATACTCCGAGTTAGCCTCTCCAACGTTAGTCACCGTCCTCGTATAACTCAATCTCTCATTCCCCAAAAGGACAGTAAAAGTAGGGTAGTTCAGCTGCGATTCGGGTATGGATTGCACCTCAGAGCACTTCACTGTCGTTTGTGTGATGGTCGAGACTTGATCATCCGTGTAGTTTAGTCCACACAAGTAAGGAATGTAGTCTTCTGGCTCTATGTCGTAGATTAGGCCCGGATTGTTGGCCTTTGAAGGGTTGACATGTCCCGCCCCGGTCGCGAAAACGTCGGCTGGGGAGGCCTTTTCGTCGAGGATAGCCCCGCCGCCGAGGTTTGACACGTCGGCGGTGGTTAAGATTGCGGACTTGATCGTGGCCGGGGACCACTCGGGGTGCGAGCTCTTGAGCAAAGCCGCGACCCCGCTAAGATGAGGGCAAGACATTGAAGTGCCTGAGATCATGTTGAAGGTTGCTTTTCCGCTTGTTGTAGAGTTATCCACGGAAACCGGCCAGGCCGCGAGGATGCTGACGCCGGGGCCGATGATGTCCGGCTTCAAAATCCCTATGCTCGCCTCGCTCGGTCCTCGCGACGAGAACGACGTCACCACCGGGGCGTGCGAGTCCCCGATCACGGTCCCTTTGAAAAGGATCGTGGCTAGGGGACTCGAAGAAGACTTTATGTAGGCTTTGATCTTCAGAGAAGCCGCGAAGCTCACGTGCGTTGCGGGGAGCACGTGAGCGTCTGCTAAAGTACTGAAACCATCTATCTTCTCGTTCATGAGAATCATGGCGATACCTCCTGCGCTCTTTACTTCAGTACCCTTGTCGATTCTAGCGATGCCTCCTCCTCTATCGCATGCCACAATCTTCCCTTTTACGTCGAGGCTTTGAAGCGACCCCGGCGCGCAATACTTGACGGACTCGTTGCCGCTCGCGCCGGGGTAGATGAGCGGGTACGGCTTTGAGGAGTCGAAGGGCGCCAGCTGGTTAAGCGACTCTCCTTCGAGGACTTCTCCGTTGCCGAGAATCGCGTCGGCCTTTATTTTTCTGTCAACGGTGCTGGCTCCGACGGTGAGGATCCATGGAGCTTCGTTTGATAAAGTGAAGTAGTCCGGACCTTCATTCCCGGCTGAGCAGCTGACGATGATGCCCTTTTGGATGGCGGCGAAGGCCCCGATGGCGATGGAGTCGAAGTAGAATGGAGCGGAGCCGCCGCCGAGGGAGAGCGATAGGACGTCGACGCCGTCCTCGATGGCTGCATCGAGGGCCGCCAATATGTCGGCCTCGCTGCAGCCCTCAGCGCAAACCCTGCACACAAATCATAGAATACCAGTATTATTAATTATAAAAAGAGTAAACTTATTAGGCTCCGCACAGAAACAAAAACTAATAGACTTGTGGAACTATTCAACTTCAATACAGAGCAGACGCATTTTACTATGAAATATATTGATAGTTTAATTTCTAGAATATATTATTATACATAAATTTAATTTGAAGAAGAATACTCTTCATTTCAAAATTCGTTGATTTATGATGTAGTTCACTAAAAATTTATCTGTGTGTGATTATTTACGGACATAAATATTGTAAATATTCTTCATTCTCTTGCCTGTACATGGCGAGGTGCGCACGGGGCGCAATACCGGCCGCTGTGCCATTGGCCATTCCAAAGGCATTGGCGCCGGAAACAAAGTTCCCGGCGGCGGTGCTCGACGTGTGTGTGCCATGGCCTTCAAGGTCAAACGGTGGCTGACCACTAGGCGATTTTGTACCAGTACTTTTAGTACTAGTCACAAAGTCCCTTGCACCAATCAGCTTGTTGTTACACTCTGTTCCAGTGAAATCGCACTTGCCTCGCCACTTTGCCGGCGGAGGCGGCAACCCCTCATCGCTGAACGAGGGATGGTCCGGCCAAATTCCGGTGTCGAGAAGTCCGACGATCACCCCTTCCCCTAATCTCGAATCATTCCACAGTCCTAATCCTTGGAACAACCCCAAGAACTTAGGCGTGTGAGTTGTGTGTAAAGAGTAGATCTTCTCTTCACGAGCCGACACAAAGCCGTCCTTCTTCTCCATGGCTTTCACTTCGTCCGCCGTCAATCTCGCAGCGAAGCCACTGACGACATTCTTGTACGCGTGAACCAAGCGTGGATAATGTGAAGATCTTGTGGTGGCGATGGTAGGAGTTGTGGAGGGCAAGAATGTTTGGTACCAAGCCTTCAAATCTTGATCCGAAACAGAAAGTACCCCACTAATTTGTGGTTTTTTGACGTGAACAATGTAAGTCTTTAAGCTACTAATTCGATCATGATGATCATGATCAGCTTCAATCTTGGCACTTTTCTCAAATACTAATTTCATTTTTTGATAATCAGCTCCCACTAGATCAGAACAATTAAGAATGATGAAAAGCGACACAAAAAGATACACCAGATTCAAGGCTTTCCACTCCATGTTTAATTAGCACTTGAATTTAGGACACAAAATGATATCTCTATGTTTGTGTATATATAGACATATACATATATAGGTGAGATTAGTATTGGTAAGCCGGCAGACATAAAAATATTTAAGGTAATAGGAGCAATTGATATCAGGCGCCTTCAAAAGATCCGCCAGGTTTGGAGTACCAGAACATGCACAAAGTTCTTCGATTTTTTTGTATTTTGTATTTTGGGTTTTTGATGAAGCACAAAGTCATTGAATTTGTTGCTTGGTAAAACCCGCAAAATATAGTTAGAACAAGGCGGCGATAAACCTTATGCCTAGACGGTTAAGCCATGGACTTAAGGAAATAAGTTTTTTTTTTTTTTTTTTTTATTAGCAAAAGCCAACTGGCTGTATAAGACGTATATGTATGTCCTGGCACGAAAATATTCCTTTAAGAAATACGGGGAAACAATTAAATTTATTGTTCTCTTAAACAAGAATAGAATCACGTTTAAAATAAAAATAAAAACAGGAACAGCTGGGAAGTGTTGTTCTTGGTTTTTGACACTTTCAAAGGAATCTGCTGCATGCATGCATGCATGCATGCCTGGATGTTAGGAGTCTTCCGTCTCTTTGCCCTGCATCTCTGTACAGACTTTGGGCCTCTCTCTTATGGGCTTTGGTAGAGCTCGCAGTGGGGCACTTAAGAGTATTAATGCTATAAATGAGAGAAGAGAAGAGAGAGTTGTAGTAAAGAATTTCATGTACTACAATTAAAATATCAAATATATTTCTAGTTATAGTCTTAAATTATCAAATATATTTCTAATTATAGGACCATATGACTGCTGGTACTCTCTACCATAATACTTGGAGATATCATGTTGTTATACTAAAAATTCTGGTTACTGGTGATCACCAACTTGTATTCTACTATGACACTTATAGGTATTATCCCGTTGCGATACTAAAAGTTCATCTAATTGACAACCACCAGTATCCTATGAAGATACATTGCGATAGTAGTGTGTAGATCATTGATATCAAGAAAAATGAGACAAATACCTTTTAGAATGCATAGATATTAGATTTTTACTTATTACACTTGATTAATACCCTACTCAAGAAACTATAAAAGGATATTAATTGTTAAATTATAAAATTATTGTTGGCCCACCTCCTGATAGCTTAAGGTTTTGGAATGGATTGGTAAACTAACATGGTATCAAAGCGGGAGGTCTTGAATTCAAACCCCCGTAATTGCACTATTTATCTTCATTTAAAAATTGTCATGTATTGGGTCTTTAATATATCTCGGACTTAAATATTTCACGTGTTGAGCTTTCCAATTAATTTACCCACACGATTGCCCATTGTCTAGCCCACACGTGAGGGGGAGTGTTAAAGTATGAAACTATTGTTGGCCTACCTCCTAACAGTTTAAGTTTTTGAGATGGATTAGTAAACTAACATTAATCAAGAATAAATGATAAAAATCTTAAAACAACTCACCATCTGGTGAGTTAACTAATTCTTATCTTAGCATGTGATACTTTACAATCACCCGTAGCTATTGATGGTGGCCAATCATACTACCATCAGTTTCTCATTGGAATACTTGAATAAAAAATAGAAAAAAATTGCACAAAATTTATTAATAAAACAAGAAATATTTATTTCTTTTTAATGACAACACAAAAATATCAAAAAGGGTCATAGAAAAACGGGTGGCAAGAGGCAACATGTAAATTTCTAACAATTCGAGCGGTATAGAATCGATCTTTAGCATGAGAGCAATGCCTTTATTTATTTCGTAAATACTGTTAGACATTTTGACCTTACCTTCTCTTTTTAAAAATCAACTTAAGAGAGAGTTCAAAAAAAAAAAAAAAAATAGTTGCCTTTCTTTTCTGGTTTCTTATTTTTGTTTTCATGTTTCTTTCTGACTGATGATTCTGGTTACATTTTTTTTTTTTCCTGCATAGATTATGTAATAGAGTAAAAAGAAATAATATTATAATGGGGATAAGGTTCGGATCAAGCTTTAAACAACGACGAATAAATAGTAAAAAACAAAACTAAATTGACGAGTTAAGTAAACGACAATGTTATAAAAGAAACGACTACTATAACTGAAACCTCTAGCTGATGTATGATCTGTTTACTGTGGATGCGCACAGAGAGAAGCTACCAGAAAGTCTACCAACTACCAAAAATAGTCCACAAAATCTAAAAAACAAAACAACCTTGTCCAATTATTTTTTTTAAAAAAATCTAAAAATCTAAAAAACACCTTAAATAAAATAAAAATAAAAATAAAAAAAATGGCATTTCTCAGGTCAGTAGTGGCTTCAACAACCGCCATTGCAGCTGCCTCTGCTATACCTGTAGCTTTTGCTCTTTCATCTTCTTCTTCTTCTTCTTTGTCGTTTCGATCTATTCGATTTTCCAGACCCCAAAACCTTCCCTGTCTCTCGTCCACACAATCTCTTTTCCCAAATCAGTTGGGCCTCGTCGGAAGCTTCACTCAGCCACACTCGGCTCTTCACATGGTCGGACCCGTATCAGAAGAAAAGCCCTCCTCTCAGGTTCGCTCAAATTCAACAGACCCAGTTCTTTCATTATTATTATTATTATTATTTTTTGGCTCTTTTCCTTGGTGGGTTTTGATCTGAATTTTGATTTTCTTTGATGGGGCTTTATCTGATTGAATGTTGAAATATCTCGACTTTGGAAACGCAGAGTGATGATGCCGTCTTGCCAGAGCTTCTGGTGAGTTTGAATTTTCTGAAACTTAATTAAAGTTCTTTATTTTTTTCTTGAAAGAGTGATGATGCCGTCTTGCCAGAGCTTCTGGTGAGTTCGAATTTTCTGAAACTTAATTAAAGTTCTTTATTTTTTCTTGAAAATTAAAGTTCGTTTTTTTCCTCTTAATACAAAATCTGTTGTGATGGAAATATTTTCAATACTTATTGAACAATCAGGTTGTTATGCTGATTTTAATGAAAACAACTCAAAATTGTTGGTTTGATTTGGTAACAGACGGAATACATGGTGGATATGAAGTGTGAGGGCTGTGTTAACGCTGTCAAGAATAAGCTGGAAACAGTTAATGGTAGGCTTTCAGAAGCAGTAAAAAAAGCAGTATATTTACTAGTATCTTTTGGTGCTTCCC